GTATGTGGTGCTGAGGATCGAACCCGGGCCGCACGCGTGTCAGGCAAGCGCGCTACCGCTTGAGCCACATCCCCAGCCCCACTTTCAGTAAGTTTTAACTCAGATAAATAAATCTGAGGACAAAATTGGGATAAGAATAAAATATGGGGCTGGGATTGTGGCTCAGTGGTAGAGCGCTCACCTAGCACGGGCGGGACCCGGGTTCAATTCTCAGCACCACATAAAAATAAAGGCATTGTGTTGTGTCCATCTGAAAAAATAAAAAAAGACATTCTCTCTCTCCCTCTCTCTCTTTAAAAAAAAAGAAGAAAATAATTCAATTTTTGTAAAAGCAGAAAGATAACTTTTTGCTCAAATTTAATTACTAACTATAAACATTTTTTTGTAATAGTCCACAAGATTTTGATGTTGTCTTCCAATTTTAAGTAAAATTCATTAGCTGAAAGAGCATTGCAACTATTTTCAGTCAGCTTATACATTTTCTGAAAATTTCCAAGAAGATGTTATGTTTTCAAACTCACTATCTTAAGTTTGGCCATTAGTTACCCACGCTGCCTCTACTAAAATGTACATATAACTAATGCTTTTTTTTTTTTTTTAAGACCTTTAGTGTGTGTGTGTGTGTGTGTTTCTTTTTCTTTTTCGGTACTGCAGTTTGAGCCAGGGAAACTCTACCACTAAGCTGCATTCCCATCCCTTTTCTTTTCTTTTCTTTTTTTTTTTTTTTTTTTTTGATATAGGTTCTTGCTAAGTTGCTAAGACTGGTCTGGAACTTATGATTCTCCTGCTTCAGCCTCGCCAGTAGCTGGGATTACAGATGTGCGCCACTGCTCCCAGTCTCTCTTTTCTTAAAAGTAACAGAATTTACTGGCTGGAAATCTGCAGACTGTTTAGGATTAGTAAATGAGGAAGGAAGACTTAGACAACTAATGTATTTTAACTCTTTCTTCAAACCAAGTTTGAATTAGTCAACTTCAGGGATAGGGTTACCCTCCTATTTCACTGCATTGTTTTATTTATATACTTCAATCTTTTTTTTTCTTTTGTACATAATATGCAGAATTCAATAAAAAGTTATGGATACACATAGTAAGACACAAGAAAGTAAGGTGCCTTGTCAAAAGAATCAGGTCTAGAAAGGCATTAGATGTTGGAACAATCAGACAGAGATTGGTGCTATGTTACTTCATTTGAAATTGACAAAAAACTCGATGAGGCAGGAAACCTTTCGTATTGCTTTCCAAGTTACTTTTCCTTAAAGATAGGCTGTGTCTTTACCATTTCTCTAAATAAACCCTTTAGGTGGCTTTCCACTGAATATAGGACAAAGGCTAAATTCTCAGTTGAATCTTCAGGGATTTTGGTGATAGGCCCTATTATATYCCACCATTCTCTGTCTCTCACATTCCACACTCAGTGCTGTAGTCAAATCAGACAGTCAGATATTTTCTGTACATGCTCTAGAACTTTTATCCTTGTTCTTTAGGGCAGCTAATGTTTCAGTCCAAAATAACTTTCCCCAAATTAAACTTTCATGTCCCGGTTCAAATGCCATTTAAATCATCCAACCAGTTTGGAGATATAAAGATGAATAAGTCATGTTCCCTGCACTTGAAAATCTTACATTCTGGAGGTGATTCTGACAATATGAACACATATTAATGAGTAAGAAGTATTTTGCCCTATCCTCAAAGTGAATGGTCTTGCTCTGCTCTTACATCTTATTCAGGCTCACACTCATTTCTACCTAATTTTCACCTGTTTATCCACTAGTTTATATGCTCCTTGAAGGTAACATGTACACCAAAATTACTCAAGAAATGTTGGTTGAATGAAAGATTTGGTGGAATGAACGAGAGCATCATATACAGCATGTAAGAAAATGTCCACTGATCTGAGTATGCTATCGAGAGCCCTGATTCAAACATCGTCACAAAGATGGCTGCAAATTCCACCGTCTTAAAAGAATGATCAGAGATATTTTTGCCTCAGTCATTATTCTAATGAGTCTTTTCTTTTTCAGCATTTCTCTTCTCTAGGGGGGCTGACTTGCTGGTAGAGCTGGAATCACAATGATATAAACACAAATGAGGATACAAACTTTGGAATCAGATGGGCTGGGGATCAATTCAGGGTTATTTTAAGATATTTCTCACCCCTAAATGGTTCGATTTCCCCCTCTGCACAATGAAGACAAAATTCATGTGTTATGGTTTAGATAGGAAGTGTCCCCTAAGGACTCCTATGTTGAAGACTCTTTTCCCTGATGTAGCAGTGTTCAGAGGTGAAGCTCTGGGGAAGAAGAGCTCTGGAGGTGTGCACTTAAACTCTATCTCATCCCTGCCTCCACCCCTCTGCTTCCTGGCTGCCTTGAGGTGAGAAGCTTTCGTCTGCTACATGCTTCTGCCATGATGCTCTGCCCTACCTCAGGCCCAGAGCTATGGAGCCAGCTGACCATGGACAGAATCTCTGGAATTGTGAGCTAAAATACAACTTTCTTCCTCTCAGTTGTTTTTGTTAGGTATTTTGGTCACAGAGAAGAAAAGCTGAAAAACGTAACACATTTCAGCATTTTAAGGAGATTCAGTATGTTTTTGTGCTTAGAAGAGTGTCTAACATACAGTGTTAAAAAGCTCTGCACTGATAAAATGCCAAATTTTTTTTTTGGGGGGGGGAAGGGTACCTGAGATTAAACTCAGAGGCACTTGACCACTGAGCCACATCCCCAGCCCTATTTTGTATTTTACTTAGAGACAGGGTCTCACTGAGTTGTTTAGCGCTTTGCCCTTGCTGAGGCTGGCTTTGAACTCGCGATCCTCCTGTCTCAGACTCCCTAGTCGCTGGATTACAGGCATGCTGCCACCACGCCTGGCAAAATGCCAGAAATTTTATATCCTCTTTTCTCTTAAGACATTGCTAGTTTCTTATGAAGCTATGTGACACATAACATTCAGTGAAATACCAGAGCCCACAAGAAGTGCCAATTATAAGTGATGTTTAGGGGTTTGGTTATTTTTCTTTAAGTTAAAATGCCAGAATTAGAGATGATTTCACAATCTAACACACTAGTTTAAAGTAACTATTAGCCTTTTGAATTATGAAATATCATATCTTTTCAGGTTCCCTTTAGCGCATTAAGGATGATATTAATTATTCTTATTTTCAGTGTCAATTTTAATGCCAGTTTTGTTTTATAGTTTATGGGTAAAATATGATAAAGTGCTTTGGGAAAAGGAACTTTCCCTATTTTTAGAAAATGTGAGATTAGTAAAATTATAATAAAATTCCCCAAATTCAAAAATTCCAAGTGATTATAGCAAAATGAAAAGATCACTCAGGGGGATTAATAACAGATTAGAAGAAGAAATCAAGTAAACAGTGATTTTTAAAAAAATCAATGGTTATATATTTTAGCAATAGTTTAATAAAAAKTTATCAGTACTTTCACTGTGATCGTGCAATTTTTCCACATCCTTGAGGAGAGACAATTCATAAAATGTATGACTTTGGTTTGCTTGTGAAAGAGGATCAGTATAAGCAAATGTATGCTTGTTTGTTTTTAACAGTTTAACATAGACAAAGAGGCTGGGGAAAGGCAGATTTACCACCGCTACTGCATGGAGCGAGCTTCTGTTCACTGTGCTCATGTGTTCACCACAGTTTCAGAAATAACAGCAATCGAGGCAGAACACATGCTGAAGAGAAAGCCTGGTAATTATCACCACTGAGTTTGTCACCTCACCTATCTTTCAACTGCAAATGATATTAGAGTATGAAGATTTTATTTTTTTTCCAGAATAAATATTAGATGAAAAATTGTACTTATTGCTACCATATGATTCATTACATGCATTTCAATTCTTCATTTCAGTGGGTGTGTGATGAATTCAAAGCTAAGCTATTACTGGAATATAGGAAGAGTTGAATCTTATTGAATAAGTGAGTTATGCTTTTAAAGTCCTAAGTACAAACAGAGTTTTCAAGACCTATTATATGTAAGATAACTAACTTGGCATTTCTCTTTTAAGAAAATAAAAGTGAAGGCGAATTTAGAAATTTGTGGGAAATTGTCCCAGTCCTACATTTTATAATATTACCTCTTTGGTGCTGTTTTGTATAAGCCTGCTTTACCTCTCCCCAGACTTCCTTATAAATTTTTCTAGAAAGCATTCCCAAATCCTACCAGATTTTTCAGTGCAAGCATGTTCATAAAACATCATGTGGCCACAGCTGATTGGTGCAGAAGTAGATACCTGATATAAGCTGAGCCAATCAGAATGCTCCCATGGGTGCCAGTCTGATCAGATGAGTCTGTTTGAATGCATCCTTGTCTTGGCATAGTCTCTTTTCCTCTTCGGACCCACTGGATACAAAGAAGGTTAGACTACAAACTCTTGAGCATCTGGAGGAGGTATTTTAAGGTGTTAAATCACACAAACAAAAAACAAGAATTCAAGTAATGAATAGTGGTAGGATGATCGTTTATGATATGTGATCTTTCCAAAGATCCTTTTGGATTTTGGATTCTCTGGGATTCTCATTCCCATGTTCCTTGCAGGAATTTGTACCATTGATATGTTCATTTCTCTCCTGGATCTGTTTTCTCTATCTACAGTATCCTTTTCTGAACTTAACAAACATGTTTTGTTTTTTTCCTATTCTAAAATGAGAAATTCTCACCAGGCAGCTACTCTGTCAAATATCTATGTAATCTCCTGACACCAAGTATGTTGGAATAACAAAACTACAGTTACCGTTTTCACTTATTAGCCCCTTGAACTCTGGCTTCTAAACCCTGGAAGTTTGAAATTGATTTTCTAAGAGAATGACCAAATTCAGGATTCTCTGATTTTTTTTATGCTCTTTGACATTAAAAGTGATGAACACCTCTATCTTCCCCTCACTTTTCATGACACTGCATATTCTAAATTTTCTCCAATATGATTATTTTCTGGTGTCCCTAATAACTTTTCTACTTTCTTCTGCCTTTTAAAAGTAGGTCTTCCCCAAGATGATTCTGCATCTTGCTTTCTTTATTGGTTATTTTCTAAAAGTTTTATTATCTCAGGGATACAACTGCAGAGTAATGGTGAAAAGCATGGACTTGACGTCAAACTGCCTGAAATCAGTATCGAAAATGATTTTGGGCTGAGTAAATGTCACTAACTATGTGACACTGTAAAAGTTATTTAAGCTCCCTGTGCCTTACCAGCATAATATAGATAGTAATTCTACCTGTAGTGTAGAATGGTTGCAGTGATTTAAAGAGTTAATATATGGAAATAACTCAATATCTGGTTCATATAAATGTTGAGAAAAAGTTAGCAATTGTTATGTGGTGTGGATCACTGTCTAGATTTTCTTAGGTTTTCTGTATCACTGGCTGCCTACAAGCTAGCTTCACAAGCAAGTTCCAATAGAACTATAAACACTTCAGTCTAGTTCACTTTCTGGCTAGTGGTAGAAATACATGGTGGTCCTTATTGGAATTGTAAAATCTTTGAACATTTTATGGCTAAAGGAGGTCAATGCACTTTTAGTAGATCATGAAACATAAAAAAAAAAGCAAAAGCATTCTAAAAAGAAAAAAGTATTATGTGGAAGCACCATGATTTTGTATTCTCTATTTTTTCTTGAAGTTCTCTACAGTTAAGAGTATTTTTTAAAAAAGTATAACTACAGGGGCTGAGGCTGTGCCTCAGTGGTAGAGCGCTCGCCTAGCATGTGCAAGGCACTGGGTTTGATCCTCAGCACCACATAAAAATAAATAAATAAAACAAAGGTGTGTGTTTGTGTGTGTGTGTGTTTGTGTGTGTGTGTGTGTGTGTGTGTATAGTATAACTACAAGTACAATGCTAAGGTCAAGCTACATAGGCAAGAGGTAAGTGTTGGCTATATCAACAGCTAAAATGAGATCATATATTTTTTTAAATCACTGTGTACTAATTGGCGAAAAGACCCATTTAATACTGTATTATGATTGTTGTTGTTTTGTATTTTTATTTTTGGTACTGGGGATTGAAGCCAGGGGCACTTTATCACTGAGCCATATTCCCAGCCCTTTCTTTAAAATGTTGAGACAGGGTCTTGCTAAGTTGGTGAGGCTGGCCTCAAACTTGTGATCCTCCTGCTTCAGTCTCCCAAGTTTTGGGGATTATAGGTAGGTGCTACTATGCCCACTTGTATGGTTTTTACCATAAGTTTGATTCAATGTCTAATGTTGAAAAGATGATATTTTGTTTAAAATATTGGAGAAAAGGCAATTTTATAAATTTACTAATTACAAATATATCACTTAATACCACATGTGCCTTAAAGATCATATGATGATATTTTCAACATTGTGTTTACACTTCAAGTTGTTAGTTTTGCGATTATTGATTTCTCAGTTTGTGGTAATACTTATAACTGAAATTCAAATGTCACCATTTAGTCATTTTTTCCTGTGTATCTTCAGAGGTGGAAGACATCAACATTGTCTTCTACTTGGAAATAATAGCAAGATGTTCATTCCCAGTGTTGCTTTCAGGGAGAGAAAAGAATTAGGGAGAAGGGGAAAGGATATGTTTTCAAAGCATATCTCAGAAGTTTTGATATTTCAGTGAATGTAAATGAATTGATAATATAACTAATTATACTTACATAAACTAATTAATAAAATGAAATTGAAAGAAATACCAAATGTAGAGGGGAGCGGCTCACAAATTGGAGACTTTTGTTTATATTGAGATGATTTTTTTATAATATTAAAGTTGATATTAGATTTTTTATTCTAAAGAAAAAAAGCACAATTTAAATTGTGTCATTATGTAAGAGCACCTATATATTTCCAAATTTATCAATGAAACATAAAAACAGTCTTAAAATCTTWTTTCTTAAGCTATGTAGACAGTGGTGTGCTAGAATCAATTCATTATGAYTTCCAAAGTCCATTTGTTAAAACTTCAGGATATTTGTGAGCTGGTTGCCAAACATAGCCATTACTAAACATTTATTTATCTAAAATTACAATTTAATAACTATGTCAACATTCAAATAACATCATGTCCTAATTATTTTACTACATTTTAATAAATGCTCTTAGGTATGTGTGTATATTTATATATATTCTATATATAATACAATTTATAATATATAAATACAGTGGAAATACTACCATGGTGTTACTAAACAACAYGTTAAGTACAGTTTTCTTCAAATATTTATTAGTACTATATACAGGAGTAGTTGGCCCTAAGTATCAAAGGGTTTGCATCCATGGATTTAAGTAATCATGGATCAAAAATGTTAGAAAAAATTGTGTCTATTAATTATGTATTTTTGTCATTATTTTCTAAACAATGTGGAATAACAATTATATACATAGTATTTACATTGTATTGTAAGCTARAGAAGTATAGTAACCTAAAGATGATTTAAAGTTTAAGGGAGGATGTCATAGATTTTATGCAATTCTACACTATGTTATTTTATTTTTGGAACCTGTAAATATGTTTAATTAGTATGTGTCCATTTAAAATAAAAAGTAATGAAGTGAAGGTATTTTTCATAACAAATTATAATCTAATCCCAATGAAAAAAGAATAAAGTTATTTGTTTTAAATAATAAATTCMTGTAACAAATTTAATTCATGACATTATCCATATGAGTATTGCTAGGAAATCTTCAGAAACAGAGAGACATGTACACAGAAAGTGGAGAGAAGACATRAATTACTGGTGGTCTCCTGAGCTACTCCAATGAGCAGGTGTACCACCCCTTCTTAGTTTCTGATGTACATGCATATAGAGGCCACCAGGTGAGCTCAGAGGGGCCATGCTAAGTGGTACCACAGACTGGGATAATCTGGCTATAAGTGGATGTCTGTTGGGGGATGGGACAACCTAAGGTTCTGATTCTGAAATGGGGACATCGGAAGGTGAGGGTAGTAGCCTCTATCTTCCATCTTCAATATAATCTCATGACCTCTGAGGTTTTCCTAGGTCTCATTCCATTGCTCCCTACTCCARTTCTGTCTGAAACCTTGTCATTGGGGATCCAGGAATGGGAAGGGCCATCTCTTTATGTCCCCTAATGGGCAAGACCCACCTCTTTATATGGGACTTGAGCATCCACACATTTTGCTATCYAAGAGGATCCTAGAATCAATCTTGAATATTAAGGAACAACTGTGTAGCAAATGCCAGATTACTTAGTAAAAACTCATGAAAATCAAAAAAAWTTTTTTCACATAAGAAATGATTGAAAAACTTGGGACCATTTCTAGAGAACACCCTTTTATTAATAAAAGATTATTCAAAACAATATGACATATTTCTAATTCTAGCTCAAATCTCCATTGCAAAAATTACCATTGCTGGGTATTAAACTTTTTGATATAGCTTCTTTTTTTTCCCCTTGTTTTTGTTTTTAGTGCTTCTAAATGTGATAACCCATGTAATCAGTTCAATAGGTGGTTTCTACTATGTGCTCTGAGGAATCTCTCTCTTGTTGATGACCAATATATTGAAAACCAAAAATGTCTTCTTGCCAGAACAAAATGTTCGGGGCATAATGAATCATTTGTATTAGAAAGAAGAAATTAGCACAATGTGTCAAACTGTGTTCTACTATCATGTATAACCAATTAAAACAAATAAACAAAAAAGTCTTTAAAAAAGAAATTAGAACTAACAAATCAGGAATAAGAAATAGAAATTTTATYTCATTGTACCAATCACTCATTATTTTTTAGATCAAGTACTCCTGATTTCCTATCTCCACCAAAAGACTGCATTCTGAAGTTTTATGCATTTTAAATTCTATGGTTACAAACTGGAAATGTTAGTCTAATTTTACAGACTTAAAAATACCTTTTCTCCCCTAAAATGCTACTTACTACCTCTCAAAGGCTTCACTTTTGTTCTGCTTTTCCAGATGTAATTACTCCAAATGGCTTGAATGTTAAGAAGTTTTCAGCAGTGCACGAGTTTCAAAATCTCCATGCCATGTATAAGGCCAGGATCCAAGATTTTGTTAGAGGTCATTTTTATGGGTATGCTTTTCTGGGCTATTTGTTTGTTTATTTATTTATTTAGGCACTGGGGATTGGCCCKAGTCATTTGCTTATACTAGGCAAATTCTCTACCACTGAGTTGTATCTCTAGCCCATGCTTTTCTTTACTTAAAGAAAAAAAGAAATTAAAAGCATGTGATTTTTCATATCTTTAGTAGAGAGAAAGCAGGATCATTTTAGTAAATGTTTCTCTATCACAGTCCCTCTGTTCTCCAATGGAATTCACGTGTACATTTTGTTGCTGTTGCCTTATTTAATATGAAACTGTTTGGCTTTGTTTTAGTCATCTGGACTTCGATCTTGAAAAGACTTTATTCTTTTTCATTGCTGGGAGGTATGAGTTTTCAAATAAAGGAGCTGACATCTTCCTAGAATCCTTATCCAGACTGAACTTCCTGCTAAGGGTAAGAAAGCTCAAGGGCAGGACACAATGCTTTTCTGGCGATGACTTTCTTCTTTAAGAGTGAAGAACTTTCTGGCTTCTTAAATAGCTTTCAAGAGGATGTATGATATTGAACATTTACAAAGGTAACCTTATCCTGAAAGTGACACTGCCCTTTCAATTTACATATTAGAATTATTGAATTGTTCACCTGCATATTTATCTGTATTGTCCAGTATGTTTTTAAAAGAGAACCTCACACCATATGTGCTATTATAAGAAGTTGTTATAACATTTCTTTTTCCTCCCAGGAGCTTATAATAAGTTGAAAGATAAATATAAAGAAATTGAGTGGATAGATAACAAATTACCACTCTTTTTTTTTCTAAACCAATGAAGATGTGGCTTGGGMATATCTCAATTGCAGTGGAAGATGTAGCTGGAGTATATGACAAATGGTGTCCTAATACTGACCCTRGGTATTGCATTTAGCCATTCAATCACAGGTGTTTCTGACCATGGCCACCCTCCCCCAACTCAAGCAGACCTTCAGAGTAGCATGTGCCATGTGGCTACCTGCTAAGTAYTACAGCACTAGCTCTCTGAAGAACAGGACAGACACATGTCAACTGTTTCTCCCCAACTCACTAGCCATRTTCCCTTTCCAAGTTTAAGAGTCTCAAACTGCAAGTCTAGGAGATGTCCTTCCACATGGAAACACTAAAAAGGAAAAGTAGGCTCTTCTTCCCAGAATTACGGCATTTCCCCACCTCAGGAAGATGGGCCTTAAAGGAGATTCTCAACTAATTCAGCAATAAAATATGTACCATAGAGATAACTATTTTAAAAAGGTACCATGACATAGTAACTGATTAAAATAATTTGTTTATATTACAATCCTATTACATACAAATATAGAATAAGTAACAGGAAAATATCCCCAAGAACCTTATGTAAAATTTTGATCTTATTAAGATAYTGAGCCAATCTAGATTTCCCTGAGTTCTGTACTCTTCTCCAGTTAATTTTTTTCAGGGACATAGATTCATCTTTGCCTTAGAGAAGATATTGTACCAAGCACTCTAAAAGATTCACTGAAACCACATTAATAAGGAAGAAATACATGAATAAAAATCCCATTTGCAAAATAGAACCCAAGATCAAGCAGATGATTCTGGTATAATCTTATTTCATATATGAGTTCATTCAATAATCTTAAATAAATGGACTCACAGCTATATCAAACATATATCATGTTTAGGAACATTATTAATAAATCTATCAATATAATTATTATTGAGAGTCATATTATTTTTAAATGTGAAGAAAAAAACCTATTGCTATTATGCTAGTCAACAAACATAATTATAGTACTTGGAGAAGTCAAAAGAAGGCATTCTTTTTTCCATATAGTGTGCATTTWTTCTTTGGTTGCACATTGACCACTTCTGTGGTGAGTTTCTTTCTTATCCTGTGGTTTTTGGAGATTTCCTGAACAAAATGTCAGGCCCCAGAGTGCAGAGGTCACATACTTAATGGTCAAATGCCTCACGCACAGGAGATAGTCAAACACGCATATGTTTGCAGTTGGAGTTTATACATTTACTTCCCAAACTGCTAGGCTAATAGCACTTGTGGGACATGGAAAAGAATTATGGATTTTAGACTCAAAATCATCAGTTTAAATCTCAGCTTTGCTCTAAGGAGCTCAGAAGAAATATTAAACCTCTCATGGCTCCCTTTTGATATTGATAAAATGAGGAAAGTGATATCTATTGTATGTGGTTATTATGAGCACTGGGTCAAATTATGTGTTTTAAGTGCCCTATCACAGTGCCTGGTGCACAGAAGTACTGAGCCTGTATGTATTCCCTTGATTTAGGCCTGAAAACCAAAATGCAGCATATGGACAATCAAGACATTTGACAGAAAAACATAAATGATCTATTGGTGCCAATCAATGTGAATAAACTAAAAAAGATTAAAAAGAACAAACCAGAAGTCAGTCCTCGTTAAATTTCTAATCTCAAATTTTAAAGAATTAATTTCAGCTTGGAAATATTAGCTCACATTTATGATTAATTTTTTAACCACAGAAAAGCACAGTGATATGGCTAGCAATTGTTACCTATTTTAGGTGATAGATTTCATGAAAATTTTATTCCTAAGTTTTCAAACTGTTCATTGAAAAGTCTTGACTGAAAGCCAGATTTAAATTAAATTGCTGAAAAAGTCTTAGGAAAATAAAAGTCATTTCTCTGTGAATCATAAGTAAATCTTTCTGTCTAAATACATGTAAAAACACTATTTTATCAAAGTTGAAGGTCCATTTGTCACATGCTTTTGCAATCTTTGACAGTTGACTCTGTTGTGTTTTCTAATCCCTCATCAGATGCATAAAAGTAACGTCACAGCAGTGGTGTTTTTCATTATGCCTGCCAAGACAAATAATTTCAACGTGGAAACCCTGAAAGGACAGGCAGTGCGAAAACAGCTATGGTAATCTCACGTCTCGTGAATCTCAAAGCAATGAATGTAAAGGGGTTTGTTTTGATCTGTGAGATATTTCCTTGAACGTTGTTGTTTTTTWAAGATTATTATAGCACAAATCGATTCTCTTCTATTGGTCTGCTTTGTTGGATTTTGTAATCCTGATGACATCATAGGTATTATTGGAAAATCTTTGGAATGAGCAAACATGCAAGGAACAGTCTTCTGTAGAAATATTTAAAGATGGGTTAAATGTGTGTTCTGCTTTCAATTGTGGAAATTTTTAAACATATGCCAAAGTAAAGAGATTTAGTGTAGAGACTTCTTCCATGCTCAGCCAGATTCAGCACCATCAACCAGTTCCCACACTTGCCATCTCTTACACCTTCACCTTCTGCCCTCCCTGCTCTCAACCAGCTCCCATCACCATCAAGCAAAAGAGTTGAAGCTCTCGGAGTTGATCAAGGTGTTCTGTTGCCTCAGCTTTGAGGTTTCTCACTCAAGCTAAATTGGCAAATAAAAAAATAATAGAAGAAGTTGTGCAGAGGAGACTTGTAATTTCAAAAATTACAAGTGATGAAACAATAGCATTGTTATGACAAATGAAGATTGAAAGTTATAGTGCTGTCTGAATTAGAAACCTTTCCATTTCAAACAGGGACACTGTGCATTCTATGAAGGAAAAGTTTGGAAAGAAACTCTATGATGCATTATTGAGGTAGGTGTTCGAAAAACACACACTTCAAACATTTAGGACTTCACTATTCAAATTTAACCATCCAGACACTACCATGTACTTACTTTGTTCTAAATACAAGGTAATTAATATAATAGCCTTTGAAGATACGTTGTCATGTGAACAGTAGTTTTATGCTTTGTTTGACAAACACCAGTAAACAGCTTGAATGTTTGAGAACACATTTGCTTATGCTTGCAGATTCTATGTCCATGGGAACTCTTTACAGGTTAGTATGTCAATCTGAAACAGAGGGTGAGCTCAAGTCAAAATGCAGGTGTGTGTGTGTGTGTGTGTGTGTGTGTGTGTGTGTATACACATATATATTTAGATATATTGGTCATGATGAATATTCATATATCTAATTTGTATTTATTTACATGTTAAATCTATGTTATCATCCTTACTTAATAATATGGATAGCATAATAATAAATAAGAAATATATGTGCATATGTCTGACACTTAGAAAGCACTTAATTATTGCCAACTATCTTTACTTTTTTTAAAAAAAAATTTTTTAATTGTAGTTGGACACAATACCTTTGTTTCATTTATTTTTTATTTTTATGTAGTGCTGAGAATCCAACCCAGGGCCTTGCATGTGCTAGGCGAGCACTCCACTGCTTAGTCACAACCCTAGCTCCTGTTTTTATTTTTATTGTTAACACGTTTTTCCTAACAGAGGAGAAATTCCTGACATGAATGATATTTTGGATCGTGATGACTTAACAATTATGAAAAGAGCCATCTATTCAACGCAGGTAAAAAGAAAAAAAGTGCCCACCATTTCTCATAACTGTTAAAATCAATCTAAGTCAATATTTTAATTTGCTGGAATGTACTAATTTGGGAAATTTTTAGACTAGAGGGTTATAAAAGACATTCTCACATAGTTACCTGAATCATGTCCTTTTTTGAGTAATTTTAAGGATTTCTTTTAAAACTCTCATGAAACTTGTTTTTGTATCCACTTACAGAATTGATTTGTAATTAATTTATCCAGTTTAAAAACTATATACTAACAACACCAAAAAAAAAAAAAGCCTTCTAAATTTTTCCAAAAGCATAGAATTTGTGTTTATGGTTGAAAAAAAAAGTGAATGTTTTTTAGTAGAATGGAATTATTGCAAAAAGGATAAATCGTGTTAGGCATGCACTGGAACTCTTGTCCTAACAGGAAGGTACCAGGTGCAAGAGGGCAGTTCTGGAAAATTCCAGGACACCCTTATATTCCAAACAAGTCTCCAAAGCAGTCACAAAGTTTAGATCTTTCCGGAGGTGGCTTCAGATGGAAAACAAAAGTTACATGTGCTTACCATCTGTGAAAGGAAGTTCTCAAACCCATTATCTTCCTCTGAAACACACACAAAACTTAGTCATGCTCATCAGTGTCATCTACAAAGTCTGAGAACCATAAAGGTTGCTTGAAATGTCAGTGACCTATTGTTAAATTAGTCACCCTTATTAATTCTTTGCACAATTGACATTTTCTTCCCTCTATTGCTTCAGCGACAGTCTTTGCCTCCTGTGACCACGCACAACATGATYGATGACTCCACAGATCCCATCCTCAGCACCATTAGGCGGATTGGGCTTTTCAACAACCGTGCAGACAGAGTCAAGGTAGACGTAATTGGCTTCGTAGGCCTTTTCACAGTTATAAGAATACATTTCTGGAGAATTGATGAGAAGTCTTAGTTGTTTCAACATCTACCAGGATGTTTTAAACATTTCTAAATGAAATTAATTGCTTCTTCTTTTAGGCAATTACAATATAATGAATATTTTGGTTTCAATCTTGAAAAGCAAGGCATATTCATGGTTTTGAGTCAGAATTCTACAACGTATTGTACAATATTATCAATAATTATAAGAAAATTGACTAYAATACAAATGTATTCCAAGAATTTCCTTAATGAAGGAATCTGATATTAACATGAATTATGCTTATTTTTTCCTGATAGAGTTCTATTTAAAGGGATAATATGAGAGACTATCAGTTTTAGAGAAAGTGTTTTTATGTGCTTTTCTAGAGACCAATTCATCCTTTTGACGCTTGAGTTTCTGTAATRTCTAGGTACAGTAGTGCATGCTGAGGATATTTACATGAGTAAGATCCAGTTCTGCCACTATGTGCTTCACCTGATGTTTACTGAGCCTGTTCTGTTCTGGGACGGAGCTGGGCGTGGGTGGCAATGGTGAACTTGTAAATAGATGATTGCTTAACTYTGCTCAGTTTCATTCATCAGTGTTCAAGACGGAATTGTCAGAAGCTGTTAGGAATCTTTTCTAAGCACCCCACTCTTCCTTTTTTYCTGACACTTTTAACATATGACTTCCTCGAGAATCCTGTGTTATCTTCAGCATCCCTCCAGGGGACCTCAAATATAGGTTTCAACTTTTTTTTTTCAGGTTCTGTGAACACTTGTGGAATCTCATTGTCTCCCATATTCTTAAGAAACTTGCTCTATGAGTTTCTCTCTCTCTCTCTCTCTCTCTCTCTCTCTCTCTCTCTCTCTCTCTCCACAGTGTGTCGACACCAACTTGGCCTCATTCTTACATAGTTCATCATAGACCTATATTTGTCAATTTTTTGTGTCTTAGAAATGACATGGTGGGGGCAAGGAAAGCCTCATGTTTTCCTGTACATTTCTGTTTTTCTCAAAACCTTTCTTGTCACACCCATATCTAACTCTGGTCCTTTCTTTGAGGGTCTGCCWGGAGCCTGGCATTTGTTATGGACAATGGAGATGAAAGGAAGGAAGACTGGGAGGTGGGAGGGAAGATGATAGGTCATGAGGGAGCCCCCTGCCCTTGGGAAAACTCAAGCTGGAGAGTCCTGTTATGAGCCTGTGTGACTGTGGAACCCTGCCCTGGGTAGGGCAGTGATTTGGATTGGAAATATAAGAAATAAGGGAAATAAAGACAAATAAACAGAAACAGATGAAACAGGACTCAGCGGATCACCAGAGCTCCTGGTAGGAGAATGCTGGCAGACTATGAGGAAGATCTGCACATTTATTATATAGGTTTAAACATCAAAGGGATTCACTGTGAAAAGGCTTCTTTTTAAATTTTACTTATTTATTTATTCTGATTTGTTATACGTGATATCAGAATGCATTTCAATTCATAGTACACATATAGAGCAGAATTTTGCATGTCTCTAGTTGTACACAAAGTAGAGTCACACCATTCATGTCTTCATATATGTATTTAGGGTAATGATGTCCATCTCATTCCACCATCTTTCCTACCCCTGTGCCCCCTCCCTTCCCCTCCCTCCCCTTTTCCCTATCTAAAGTTCCTTTATTTCTCCCATGCTCTCTCCAACCCCCATTATGGATCAGCATCCACATATCAGAGAAAACATTAGGCCTTTGTTTTTTGGGGATTGGCTTACTTCACTTAGCATGATATTCTCCAACTCCATCCATTTATCTTCAAAAGCCTTGATTTTATTCTCTTTTAATGCCGAGTAATATTCCATTGTGAATATATATATCCCACAGTTTCTTTATCTATTCATCTATTGAAGAGCATCTAGGTTGCTTCCACAGTTTGCTATTGTGAATTGAGCTGCTATAAACATTGATGTGGATGCATTACTATAGTATGCTGATTTTAAGTCATTTGGGTATAGACTCCTCAGAGCCTATACCCAAATGGTGGTTCCATTCCAAGTTTTCCAAGAAATCTCCATACTGCTTTCCAGATTGGTTGTACCAATTTGCATTCCCACCAGCAATGTATGAGTGTGCCTTTTTCCCCACATCCTTGCCAATACTTATTGTTGTTTGTCTTTGTAATAGCTGCCATTCTGACTGGAGTGAGATGAAATCTTAGAGTAGTTTTGATTTGCATTTCCCTAATTACTAGAGATGTTGAACATTTTTTCATATATTTGTTGGTTGATTGTATATCATCTTCCAAGATGTGTCTGTTCAGTTCCTTGGCCCTCTCACTGATTGGGTTGTTTGTTTTCTTGGTGTTAAGTTTTTTGAGTTCTTTATACATCCTAGAGATTAGTGCTCTATCTGATGTGTGTGTGGCAAAAATTTGTTCCCATTCTGTAGGCTTTCTACTCACCTCACTTATTGTTTTCTTTTGCTGAGAAGAAGCTTTTCAGTTTGAATCCATCCCACTTATTGATTCTTGACTTTATTTCTTGTGTTATAGGAGTTTAATTAAGGAAATCAGGGCCTAATCCGACATGATTAAGATTTAGGCCTACTTTTTCTTCTATTAGGTGCAGGGTCTCTGATCTAATTCCTAGGTTCTTGATTCACTCTGAGTTGAGTTTTGTGCATGGTGAGAGATAGGGGCTAATTTCCTTTTGCTGCATATGGATTTCCAGTTTTCCCAGCACCACTTGTTGAAGAAGCTTTCTTGCCAATCTAGGTTTCAATTATTTTTTCAATGCTGGGGATCAAATCTAGGGCCTCACACAGGCCAGGCAAGCACTCTGCCACCAAGCCATACTTCCAGACCTGAAAAAATTATTTGTGAGTTCAATRAAATAATTTACCAGGAATGGAGAAGCCCTTTATTTTATAAACATATAAAACACTTTGGTATCTTTGTGCCTATGCAGATGTTATTATCTCTTTCTGAAACACCTTTATTGTAATCATTTAACAGTTTCTTTGGGAGCAAAACTGAAAGTTTTCTCTTCCTTACACCTTCTCCTAACACACATTCCTCTACACCACAGGGAACAAATTGCTTCCTTGTCTGCATCCCATGACACTTTATATCTACTGTTACTGTAGAAATCATCACGTTAAGTTATGTGTATATTTTAGAAATATATATATCCTCTGCCCCAGAAACACTGTTTGAGGCAGTGATCAGTTCCCATTTGTATTGTCTCCATTTGGGTCCTCTCTGAAGCTTATGCCAAGGCAGGATTAGATACGCAGAAGAATTACTGGAGGAAATGCCTGTGAAGGATAAAGGGGCTGAAAAGGAGAGAAGGCCAAGAGATGCAGGCCAGACCCCCATGAATGGAGGCCAGGAAGAAGGAAACAGGAAGACCACAGAAGACAGCCCAGTTCTAAAATTAGCTTAGCCTTTCTTTCCTTCTCTTTCTTTTCTCTTTTCTCTCTCCCTTTCTTTCTTCTTTTCATAAAGGAAAGTTAAATGCATTTAGTGAAAAACTAGAATTAACACATTAGTTAGCAAATAGGCCAAAACTACACACAGCAGCAGCAGCACTTACGGTGACTCACAAAGGGGGACAGCGTGGTAGGACCACTCGACGTGGTTTGTCAGTTAATGAAACTAAAACTGCACACACGTACACGTATGAACACAAAAATTAAAACAAAAGTGATTTTCAAGGACACAATCTACAACCAACACAAAATGAGAATGATTTAGAATTATTTTTTCTTAATACAAAAGATGATTAGTGTGTGTGTGTGTGCGAGTGTGTGTGTGTGTGTGTGTGTGTGTGTGTGCATGCCAAATGATATTCTGTTGAGTTATTTAAAATATGTTCTCATTAGTAGGTCCAACTTTTTCCTGACTTTAGCAACCTTTCTTTTCTGTTTCATCTTCCTGTACACCTTCCAATTACCAAAACAGTTTCAGAATGGCAGACATCTGGGTGCCTTCTTCTATGAGCAGTTTTAATAGGGATTCCTATTAATAGCAATAGGGATTTCCCAAGCAGAAGTTGCCCATTAAAGTAATCGCCTGTTGGGAATAAATGGGTTGGCAGCAGCACGGGTCTCTACCAGTTTATAGGCTAAGAGCAGCTGCTGTAATAGACCCAGAAGCTGCAGGCAGATGGGGCTGTCAGTCAAGATCCCTGRGGCCAGGATCTCTTGAAGGAAACCTGAGCTGTATTTCCAGGGCTGCCATATTTACAAAGAAAGCCACATCCTCTCTGACTTGCAATTCCTGCCACTTTTTCAACTTACGAATTTACTTATCTGCGTGTACCTCAATGTTCTCATCTGTAAAATGATAGTAAAATAATCACTCATGCCTAGAATTGTGAAGGTTAAATAAAAAGTAAGTTCTACATTTAGCACAGTACCTGGCACACAGTAAATGCATATAACTATTTGCTGGAAAATGGATGGAACTGGAGACTATGTTACATGAAATTATCCAGACTCAGAAAATCAAGGGTTGAATGTTTTCTCTCATGTGTGGAAGCTAGAAAGGAATAAAAAGAATAGAAAAGGATCTCACAAAAACAGGGAGAAGGAAGGGGATCAAAGGGAGGAAGTTACTGGGCAACGGAATCTACCAAATTGTGCTGTTCACATGTGAATATACTGTAATGAATCCCATTTTTATGTATGATGATGATGATGATGATGATGATGATGATGATAACAACAATAATGGAAGGGAGATCAGTAGACTAGGATTGTGAGAAGGGTGGGAAAGGGAAGGTATTAGGGAATTAGATTAATCAAATTATGTTAATGCCGTACAGATATGGCATAATGAACCCCACTATTATTTATAATTATAATGTACCAATAAAAATAAATACATTTTAAAAAATAAAAAGAAATAAGTACTTATCCAAGTACTTAGTAGATGATAGGTACTCAATAATTTTTATAAGAGAAATATGAACAGTTTGGTGAGTAGAAAAAAGT